CAGCTTGAGCCAGCTGGCTCTCCAGCACTGAGGTCAGGCCAGTTAGTTGGACAGTCTTCTCCAGGGACAGAGGGCAGACTGAACACTAAGACAGATGGGCCTGAGGCCAGTGCTCATTTATCTGAAGGTGCCACCCCTACAAGGGTGTGGGAATGACCTCCAGTCTTTCAGTGTTGTCCAGCTGTTTTTTTATTTTTATTTTTATTTTTTTAGCCTATTATATGTCTCATCTGAAAATGAAGAATACGTGACAAATTGTTGAGTATTTCCCAGGGGGCTTTTTTGTCATTTATAACCATTGACAGGTTTAGTGCTTGTTTTCTTTCTTGTTCCCCACATTGTTCAGAACCTGCTCCAGGTCTCTTGACATCATCTTTATCTAGGATGCCAAAGTTAATAAAATGACGATGGATCCATTTTTCTTGTGAAGGAAAATATTTTGACTCTCATGGTGAGGCTGCTCTGTTCCCGAGGAAGCTGCAGTGGGTGCAGCATGAAATAGTTTTCCTCCCATCAAAACACACTGCTCATTACCAAGAGCAGAAGGTGAGGTTGGGAAGCATCCCCGGCAGATGAGAACTATTTCTCTTCTTTTCTTTTTTCTTTTCTTTTCTCTTTTCTTTCTTTTCTGTTTTCCTTCCTTCCTTTCCTTCCTTTCTTTCCTTCCTTTGCTTCCTTTCTTTCCTTCCTTCCTTCCTTCCTTCTCTTCCTTCCTTCCTTCTTCCCTTCCCTTCCCTTCCCTTCCCTTCCCTTCCCTTCCCTTCCCTTCCCTTCCCTTCCCTTCCCTTCCCTTCCCTTCCCTTCCCTTTCCTTTCCTTTCCTTTCCTTTCCTTTCCTTTCCTTTCCTTTCCTCTTTCTTTCTTTCTTTCTTTCTTTCTTTCTTTCTTTCTTTCTTTCTTTCTTTCTTTCTTTCTTTCTTTCTTTCTTTCTTTTCTTTCTCTTCCCCATCCTCCATTTTTCTGTATGCTCCCCTCCTGCACTTCTCTACATCACTAGGTAATATTTTTTCAAAATGCACAGTTATTGTAACTTCAAAATGACCAAGAGACAGTATCCCCCTCATGGAAATCATATACACTCTTTTTGTGTCAACCCAGTTCAACAATGTAGAGACGCATATAGAATCACACCCAAGGGGAGTCAAATTATTAATTGGCTGAAGTAATAGTCAAAGTTTGTCTCAAAATCCTGGCAAGATGTATGCCTCAATTGTGAAGAAAAAATTCCCTTGCTGGTATCTAAAGCCTGTAAAACATCCTAATGAGCTGACTTGGTTTTGTTTCAGTGGGACAGTTAGTCACAAACTTGTGATTCCTGGATTAGAAATTACCCAAGGTACAAATTTTACTCTAGCCATGAGAAATCCAACTAAAAAGGAATTTTAATATTTTGAACTAGTTTTATGCTGTAATGCACAGATAGGAAGTACTGTAAATGAAACTTGTCATTTCTGGTAAGAAATCAGTAATTATTTTGGACAAAACCCAAAGGAAAGTTTTATTAGGAGTCACTTCTGGACATAAATTCTGGTAACTAAGATCCAGGAAAGGAAAAGACCAGAACTTCTCCTTGCTGTGATTTGCTGGTTTTCAAATTTGCTCACCCAGGATGCTTCTGCAGGAAGGGCAGAAGGTAGAGCTGGGCTCCAAGATACCATTCCTTCAATTCAGCCAAGTGGCTCCACTGTTATGTTTGTTATAATTGCCTTTCCTATAGGACACCTTCAAAGAATGATTTCTGTGGCTAGCAAGGTTGGAACATCACTCTTATTTTATTGTAGAAAGGATGCTTTAGGAATCCCTATACCTGGGACTTTTCTATAACCTGAACAGATTCCCCTCCTTCCTTCCTTGGAGAGGAGTGGCTAAAGTATAGCTTTTCTTTAACTTTCAACAGCTTTGATATTCCATGCCCGGGCCATCCCCATCCTGTCTAGTACACTCTCATGGCCAATGTCAGGCAGCAGGATTGGAGAAGTTAACCTATATATGCAGGTGATAATTAAACCACCTGAACCTTGCATCATTGTTTCAGATGGGGGGACTTGCTCTAATGCTATTTCTGCATCTCATTCTTGGGGTCAGAGACCTGCCTCTCTGCTCAGAGACACACTCTTGTACCGGCGGCACCATTCTTCTACTTTGAGGATTCATACTAATTCTGTAATCTTGCAGAAGAGAGCAAACTCTTCAGACTTAAGTGGAAAAGTTTTATGACTCTGCAATCGGAGAATAAAGTTTTTAACAGTTCTTTCCATGTTTCATTTTTAGCTCTTATAAGGGCTTGCTTTCTAGAATTATTGACAGAACTGTCAAATCACTTCAGGAGGAAAAATACCTAGTATTTGTGGGTACTTTGGGTAAATGTCTTTGTATCAAGAGTAAGTATACAAGAAGCTGGGGAGTTACCTGTCAGGGCGTAGGCTGGGTCGGGAGAAAGGAACTAAGACTTTAGTAGTATAACCATCAAAATCTCAGACCTGCAGGGTCACTTCCTTCACAGTGTTGCTGTTTAAAGTTCTTCTGCTTTATATATTTATTTGTTGTTTTAATATTTGTTTATTTTTGAGAGGCAGAGTCACAGAGCACAAACAGGGGAGGGGTAGAGAGGCACAGAATCTGAAGCAGGCTCAGACTCTGAGCTGTCAGTATGGAGCCCAATGCAGGGCTCAAACTCATGAACAGTGAGATCATGACCTTAGCCGAAGCTAGACGCTTAACCAACTGAGCCACCCAGGTGCCCCAAAAGTTCTTCTGGATTAGAAATGGAGGACACAACCCTGCATTTTCTGTAAGATTGGAAATCTAAACAGGCCAAGCCTTAGAATTTATTTTTGATGGGTCCACCACTTACGGAAATACTCCAAAATCCAATATAAAAAAAATTTATATTTTGGTGACATATAGGTTGTGATGGACTCTTAACTTTGGGATAATTTGGGGGAAACAAATGATTATTCTAGAGAAAATGTTTTGAGAAATACCTGTGGCTGTTTGTTTTCCTACTTTCCAACTATGCTTTGGCTGTTAGAGATCAATGGGAAAGTGTAGGTTTGCCAGCCTCAGACAACGAGGTTACTCTGATCAAGGATACTTATAAATATATTTTAAAGTATAGCGTCTTCAAAGAAATTTAAAAAAAGGTCCAGGAGCCAATGGGATACCAGCCAGTTCTTTAGCTGGCTGTTCCCTTCAACTTGCTGAAAATAAGGAAAGGAAATCGTATGAATGTTTCTCAAAAGTACAAGGTAATTTACATAGGAAGAGACTATACAAAAGTTTTAATATGTTACAATAAAAAATTCTTCTGGTAGAAAAACACTTATTTTTATTACTAAGATCCCATATGGCTTATTGCCTTTGGAGCTGAGTCACCTTTACTTCCCCTCCTTTTTCTCCTACTTTTTGCGGGATGATGGTTTGATAGGCGATAGAGAACGTTTCCCGGACTCTTCCTTGCTGAAGATGATCTGTGGGGAAGAGCACATGAGCATCAGCATGTGCAGCAGGCCCTTGGAAACTATTTGGCCTGCGTGGTTTTTAGGTGGTTCACGCTGAGGCCCGAGAGGAGTGTGCATCCACTGGCAGCAGGACTGGAGAGCCATGGGCTCGACATCTTCCCCTTCCCACTGCCTGTCACTGCCCGGCAGAGGGTAAAGCCCCCTGCAAGGGGACAGGGAAGAAGATCTGTGATCTCCGAACCAGAAATGTAGTGGACGGATGTTTTCAGGAGCTGCCACTGGGGGTTCTTTACAAAGCACACGAAACAGCCCCAGAGAAGCCAACCAGCTCTCCATGTGGCGCCTTTGGACGTCTTGCTTCAGCCTTCGTACACGTTAGCCATCATTCCTGCAAAGCCAAGTGCACTGGTCTCCAAAGTTATGGATTTTTTTGTATTGGAAGAAACACATGGACTTACAGCATAGGAAGCACACATATGAAGTCTTTTCAACAGAATATTGGGGTTTTTTCCTGCTTTACCTAGTGAATTTAGGACTTCTTACCAGGGCCCAAGTGTTTTAGGTGCAGTCTAGCCATTTCTTGCTAATGCTGTGTGAATACCACGTGTGTATAAACGGCTCCTGACTTAGTACGTTTCTTCCAGTGTGTGCCTCCTGACAGAAGCCACCCAGCCACCCCGCTGCTGCTGCTCTGCTTCATATCATGAATATTCAGAGGCTGCAGTCATTGAGGACTCAGGTGGCAAAAATAGTAAGGTGATTGAAGCAAACCCTGACATGAAACCCAGGGCTGCGTTTCAGTGTCTCTGCAACTTTGATTGCTGCACCCATCCTCCGACCCGTGGACCACATGAGAGGAGAGTCCTGGGGAACTCCTATGAATTGGGCATCTGTTCCATACACCAACATGCTCACGTCTTTCTGTATGATGTGTTGTAATCAGCATGTTGTTTTTAAAAGACAACAGGCCCCTCTGTAGTCCTCTCCCACAAAATGCATTTAGGCTGATAGTTCAGCATAAAGGACGCACTGTTGAGGCCGGCAATGCCTGCATTGTTTTCCCTGTAATGCAGTCAGGGTCTCCACAGCAAAATTTAGTGTGTTTTGTGAAATCTTATTTTATATATTTTGTCAGCAGCAGCAGTTAAACTAAAGGAGGAACAGCTCCATTCTATTACGGGTTAAATTATGCTCTGTGCAGAACTAGTGGTGATGTATAAATTGCAGCCCTGTCTTTTTTCCGAAGGATTCTAAAATAGGTTTTCCGAATTAGTGCTGGATTTTCGCTCCTGCATGTGTGGTGACTCTGGATTTTTTCCCTTCAGAGAACCATCCTTTGCAGCATTCCCCCTTCCGAGGAATCACTTAGACACTTCCAGCTGGTGGCAGGGGATATAGCCATAATACAGCTTCCTCTGTCCCAGCTGTCTTTTTCACTACGATAAATGCATTACGATGGCTGCACTCTCGTGTGAAGGTTCAGGTAAAGGAAGGTGTAGGATGAAGTCTGGAAGCCTTCTGTTGGGTTTTTAAAAGCTTCAGCTTTGACAGCATCGCTGCATTTTGAATGTCTTCCTGCTCCTGGTCAAAGGTTTCTCTCCAGTGATTGCAATGCTACTGTAAGCCTGGTTAAAGGTGCCTGAGGATAACACCTTATACAAGGAAGCCCTGCGTGCTTGAGAAGAGCTTTTTCAATGCATTATGGCTCATGCAGCCTCACAATTAAAGAAAAACAGGGATTTAGAAATCAATGCTGAAGAGGAGACTGAGAAGAAAAGGAAACACCGCAAACGGTCCCGGGATCGGAAGAAAAAGGTAGTTGTATACGCCAGAGCATATATCTTGCCTGGATTCTTTTTGTTTTAATCTCCTCCTGGCGTCTGTTAGAAGCATTAAGGGCTATTTTTACGTGCTGTGTAGGGTATGAATTGGGAACAGATGATAACACCCAGGGGCCAACCATGGCCAGGGGGTGGGCTAGGCAGGGGGAGATTTTGTCCTGTGTGGGGTGATTGCAGTGCTGATGCGGAAGGTGTGCCTGCACTTGACACAGGCAGGGGCATGTTGCCATGACACAGAAAGGTGTTGCAAGGGAGTTCTAAGTAGTTTCTTCCCAGCCCTGTCAAGGTTAAATGGGCTGCGGTGACTTAGGTCTGAGGGAGAGGCCGGTGAGCCGGTCTTTGTACTTGTTGGAGGTCTGGCTCGTGGAAAAGGAGCTTTTGTGCTAGAACTACTGTCACATGTGTGCGTTTCTCAGGCACATCTGTGACCTTAAAGACGTAGCAGAAAAGTCATTTCCTGCTTTGCTTTCTCCCCCTTTCTTTCTCTCCTTTTGCCTCTTATTCTCTAAGGTGCTTTTAGTTAGGTTGTGCGATAGAAACAAGCTGCCAGAAATGACTTTCTTTTGTTAAATGAAGCTACACTCACAGAGGTTTATTTTCCTCTGCTGGGTGAGAGGGATTATCCTGAACGCAGAATTCCCATGGCAGGGCAGGGACGCAGCCTTCACCACTGATTGCTTCTGATTAAAGCATGGGCATTGATCATTCCCAACTGATCTTCTACGGCAGGGGGAAGAGAGGAGGAATATTCTAGGTCAGTGGTGTTTTATTACAGCCGGAGAGTACTTACTGATTGTTTGGTGGCTGTGCCCTTAAATATGACTCCTACGTACCCGCCGGGGAGTGAGGGCCCAAAGCACTTTTCCTCCACAGCAATTAATAAAAATTGACTAAAACTCTGTGATCTGAATATGCAAGTCAGGTCATAAAGCATTTTTATGTCTCTTTGTGAGAATTCCTTAGGGAAAGATAATCTTAATTTGCTCTGAGCAGTGATGCATGTGCCTTCTAAATGACATGCAGATTTCATCCACCACATGTACCTCTCTTCAGGGCTGATCGCGAACATTTTTGGTGCCTTTGCCATTTTCTTTAGAGTTAAGATCTGTGAAAGAAGCCTCTCTGCCTTTTGTTACATGGCAGACTTTATGAGACTGAGTTTGGAGGGGTACAGTCACTTTGCTGCAGGATGTCAAATATAGATGGTTCCTACTTCAGTATTCTTGTAAATAAACTTCTTGAATAGATTTTCACAAAAGTACAAAGTCAGGTTAGGAAATTCTGGGCAGGCATATTTCAGAGCCTTGCACAGCAGAGTTGTGGGATTGCCATCTTGTGCTAGGTTCTGGTCTGATTGCACTGTTTGAGGATCGTCTATGGGCAGGTCACTACAGAGCGCCCCTCTCACCACGTCTTCGCCCACTCCCACCATGATAACCTGGCTTCTAAGAAACATGAGGAAAGAAGGTACATATATTTGTATAAAGATACAGTCACACCATTGCTGTTAATACTCTGTATAAGACTTGTCAGCCAAGCCAGGCTTATGCACCACAGTTTCCTGTAGTGATGACAGGCCGCTGCCTTGGGGCCTGGGCCCCTGTTTGACTTGGAAGCAAAATAGGGAAGGCATGAGGCAAAAGGAGCTTCTGGACTCACTGAACTGAAGCAAATGCTTTGTGGACCAAAGTGCTTTGTTATGAGTACAACAGAGTCTGTCCAATGTAAATCTCTTAGCAACCAGGAGGGAACATGGAGAAATATCAATATCGCTATGTCAGTGTGCAAGCAGATTTAAATGTTTTGCTCTCAGGACAGTCACAGAGTTGATCCAGAAAGCGGCTTGTGGATAACACTTTCCTTGCCATTGTACAGTTAATTCATGACACAGTAAAATATGTATATTCCCTATCAAAGATATGTGTATTTCAGGAGATTTAATATTCACAGTCCAGAGATTTCAGGGACTACTTTCAAAGTACAAAGTCAAGATTAGATTACTCTCAAGACATAATCCAGATTCTTTTTCAGTCGTATAGCATATATACCACTTACTCTCTACAAAGTGAATTGTTTTGACGTAGAGTTTCTTTTTCCTACCTTTTCCTAAGATCCTGATGAAGGCTAGTGGGTTACTTTGCTCCATGTTGTACGTCCCATATTCACTGGAAAAGCTGCTTTTATGTACTTTGTGGGTTATCATGGGGTTCATTGCTCTTGCTTATATGTACAAATATGCTCTAGGATCTTTTATTTACACGAAAGTAATAGAGAGTAATCTCATAAAATCACAAAATAGAAAAGCTTCAGATAAACATAAAGAATATCTATTTTGAATAATAAGGAATTTGATTCATGATAATTCAGGTTTAAACAAGCCCAAGATGAGCCTTTCCTGATATCTATATGACATAGCATCATACAGTATTATAATCAAGTCATGATACATTTATAAAATTAACATTAGATTCACATTTCATCAGTTTTTAAAAAATCCATGATTGCACATTTGGACGGTCACAAATGTTGATAACCGTGAATAAATGATTAGCAATCAAAAAAATAGGAAACTTCTAGGAATTTATAATTACTTGAAATTTAATAATGGTGTGTTTTATCCTTGTCACAGCAACATTAGTGTCAAGAAAAAGAAAACCTTCCTATTTACTAAAACGAAATGCTTCTAGGTGGACAAACCTTTAATCTTTTTATCCCAGTTTTTCTGACTTGAAGCAAATACAAAGCAACTTTCCCTGAGTATTTTGTTTAAAAGTGTCTTTCACTGCATTTACCAGTCTCCTTTATGCACATTTTCCCATTACTCTTCCCTGAGAGATTTTCCCTTCACTCTCCTCTTCTCCCAATGGGCTGCTAATGCTGGCAGTGAATGGGTGGCGTGCCAAAGGTAGACAGAGTGCCTTTGGGAGGGGCAATATTGGATCCATGCCTCAACTGAGAAAGTTGCAGAGAAGAACTCTTTATATTCCCTGCACTGAGCAAGGCCCTGGCCATGGGTGGTTGTCAGTGGATGACCCCAGCTACCATGAACTCATGAGGGTAGAAGTCATGAATGCTCTCAGGGCCGCACTTCCCTTGTTTCCTCTGGCCTCTGGTGCCACGTTACCTGGATATTTTGCTTTCCCTCCATGTAAACTATAAGATACATTTCAATAATGAAGGGTATTAGGAGAAGTAACCTTAACTTATTCAATAAATTTTTAAATATTTACAAATGTGCTTGTATATATTTATCATGTCCTATCAAAAATGTTTGAGGTGATCTAAGCACATGTATACTAAAAAAAGAAAGATTTATATCTATCACTGACACAGGATATATTGGGGTAAAGGAATGGTTAATTTTATGATTAATATCTTTTCTAATTGTTGACGTCAGACTCACACAGCTATTCAGTGGCAGAGCAGGAATGAATATTTATTGCTTCATTTTTGCATTCATGAATTCATTCAGCAAACATTTACTGAGTGACTTCTGTGGATCAGGCATTGCATTCAGTGTTGGAGGCAAAGCCACAGGAGGCAGAGTGGCAACAGTACAGTGACTCCCTGCAGAGAGAGGAGACCACTAATCACCCTTCCTAACGTATAGAAAGGGAGCCACAGGAGCCCACTGTAAGACTCCCAGTTTAACTAGAATGGGCTCAGAGAAGTTCTTGGGGAAGCTGAGCCTTGGAGGAGGAGTGAGCAAGATAGGCAGGCAGAAGGACAGGAATCCCATGCCCAACGTGGCGGAAATAAGAGGGAACATTCAAGTGTGTGAAAAACAAACATAAATAAGCAGCAAAGGGGTATGAGTGTATGCCTTGGAAAGTGGTCAGAAGCCAGATCATGAAGACCTTTGTATCCCGTCTCACAGGGTTGGAAATTACCCTCTCCAAGGTGAGAGGGACTTGAACTGACTTAAATGGAGGCAGTAGGAAGAGAAACTGAGCGGCTTTGTGGTTTAGAACCATCACTCAGGCGTCTCCATGCTGCAGACAGCAGCCGGGTGAGCCTTCCGGAAGCACAGACGCACTGGTGGTGATTCAGGAATGAGAGATCCTGAGGGTCTGAACCAGGACAGAGACTATGACAGTGGAGAGGGGGTGTTACATGCAAGAGATATTTAGGGGAAGACTCAACAGAATTTGGCAGTGGACTGCGTGTAGGATGTGAGAGGGAGAGATCGGATTCTAGGGTAACTGCCAAGTTCCTGGCTTGAAGCGGAAGATGAATAATTAAATTTCCTGGATTCATGTCTTTTCTCCCAGGGCATTTATTGACCACTTAAAATGTACCAGGTAGAGTTTTAAATTGCTTTGTAGGTAGAGGCTCATTTAATCTCTACAACTACCCTACAAAGAAAGTATTATCTCCCTTTACACAAATGAGGAAACTGAGGCATGAACCCATTAAGGGTTCCCGTACTATTTAGTGGTAGATCTAAGACTCCAGTGTGGAAAGTCTAGCTCTCTAGCTTGTGCTCTTACCTACAACATAGAACAGCATATGTAGTTAATATTTCCACAGCTACACATCAAAATGGATTTGATTCAGAGAATCTTCTAAGTAACCAGCTATTTACTAGACATCGGGAGCCTTAAATGACAAGCTTTATACTGCTAAGTAACCCAGTGCAATATGGCAGTGTGTCTGGTTTTCTTACCCTCTGCAATAGATTTTAATGTTTTACCTGAAGAATTTACTTTTTTAATGTTTTATTTATTTCTGAGAGAGAGACAGAGACAGAGAGACAGAGAGAGAGACAGCATGAGCAGGGGAGGGTCACAGAGAGAGGGAGACAGAATGGATCGAGAAGATGTGGTTTATCTATATGATGGAATACTACATGGCAATGAGAAAGAATGAAATCTGGCCATGTGTAGCAACATGGATGGACCTTGAGGGTATTATGCTGAGCGAAATAAGTCAGGCAGAGAAGGACAAATACCATATGTTACACATATAGGAGGA